CTATGGGGTGACAGGTGTCACTGCTGTCCCCCCCCCACCAAAAGGTGTCCCCTCCCCACGTCCCCGCGTCCCTTCCCATCCCTGATGTCCCCCATGTCCGTCTCATGTCCGTCTGTCCCCATGTTCCCATGTCCCCATACACAACCCCATCAATGATGTCCCCCACATCCATGTCCGTCTGTCCCCATGTCCTTGTCCCCATGTCCCCACACACATCCCCACCTCTGATGTCCCCATGTCCATCTCATGTCTGTCTGTCCCCATGTCCCCATATACAACCCCATTTCTGATGTCCTCCATGTCACCACATCCATCTCATGTCCGTCTGTCCCCATGTCCTTGTCCCCATGTCCCCACACACATCCCCATTTCTGATGTCCTCCATGTCACCATGTCCGTCTCATGTCCGTCTGTCCCCATGTCCCCATATATCCCCATATACAACTCCATCAATGATGTCCCCACATCTATGTCCATCTGTCCCCATGTCCCCATACATCCCCATCTCTGATGTCCCCATGTCCATCTCATGTCCGTCTGTCCCCATGTCCCCAAACACATCCCCACCTCTGACATCCCTCACATCCATCTCACGTCCGTCTGTCCCCATATCTTTGTCTCCATGTCCCCATGTCCCTATACGTCCCCATGTCCCCACATTTCCCTTGTCCCCACACACATCCCCATCTCTGATGTCCCCATGTCCATCTCATGTCCGTCTGTCCCCATGTCCCCATGTCCCCATACACAACCCCATCTCTGATGTCCCCCACATCCATGTCCATCTGTCCCCATGTCCTTGTCCTTATGTCCCCACACACATCCCCATCTCTGATGTCCCCACATCCACGTCCATCTGTCCCCATGTCCTCGTCCCCACGTCCCCACAGACCCCCCCACCTCTGACACCCCCACCTCCCCACATCACCGTGTCTATCCCACATCCACCTGTCCCCACACCTTTGCCTCGATGTCCCCACGTGTCCCCAAACCCCCCCCCCTGTCCCCCCCCACATCCCCACCTACCCATATAACTGTCATCATAGGTGGCGGCCGCCTGGCGAGTCTGCAGCTGCCCAGCCACATCCTGGATGAAGTATTCGGGGTAATTGGAGGCAGCAATTTGCTCCTGCGTCGCCGACATCACCTGCCCTGAGATGGGGGGGGGAAGGGGGGACACCTCAGCACCCATGGGTGGTGGTTGGGGGGGGGGTATTTGGGGGTCACGAGGGCATTAAGGGACACACGGAAGGGTAGAGGAGGGGTTTGGAGGG